CCATACTTCCAAAAGCACTATACAGATTTAATGCAATTCCGATCAAAATTCCAATGACATTCCTTATAGAAATAGAAAAAACAATAATGAAATTTATCTGGAAAAATAAGAGACCCAGAATAGCTAAAGCAATCCTTAGCAGGAAGAGTGAAGCAGGTGGCATCACTATACCAGAGTCTGCATTTTAATAAGACCCTCCTGAGGATCCAAGGGCACATCAGAATTTGAGAACCATTAGTTTAGATCAGGGCTGTCCAATATAATCGTATCCAACATCATTCAAGTAATTATTTTTAAACAGCCTATTGAGGTGTAATTTCCATGTCATTAAGTTTTCCCATTTATGAAATGTAGAATTTAATGACTTGTAGTAAATTGACAGAATGCAGGTGCAGCCATCACCACAATTCAACTTCAGAATGTTTGTTTCATCCTAAAGATTCCTCATGTCAATCTACAGTTAATCACCACTTCCACCACCTGTAGAGTTCTAGTAAGCAACACTTAAAAAGTGAAAAGGTGGACTAATGAAACAGGTAAAATTAAATATGTTCTAGTTAACTCAATATCATTCATATATATACATACATACACACACACACACACACACACACACACACACACACACACACACACACCAGGGCCTCACACTAGGCAAGTGCTCTACCACTGAGCTATACCCCAAGCCCTTTATTATTTTGAGACAGGGGCTCATTAAGTGGCCCAGCCTGGCCTCAAACTTGTGATCCTCCTATCTCAGTCTCCTCAATCCAGCCATTCAGTCACACACCACTACAAAATATTACCATTTTTAACATATAACCAATGTAAAAAAAAAAAAAAAAGAAAGAAAGAAACATTTCACAGTTTTTTGTCTTTGGATTCCAGTGTATACTTTAATAATTGCAGCATGTCTCAATTATGAATAGGCCACATTTCAAGGACCTCAGCAGTGAGATGGGACCAGTGGCCGCCACATTGGAAAACACAGAACTAGAATCATGATTCTCCTGGTGGGGTCCCTAGACCCACAGCATCAGCATCACCTGTGAACTCATTAGACATTATTGGTCAGCCTGGTGCAGTGGTGCGCACCTGTGATCCCAGTGATTGGAGAGCCTGAGACAGAAGTTCACGGCCAGCCTCAGCAATTTAGTGAGACCTTCAGCAACTTAGACTTTGTCTCAGTAAAAAATGAGATCTATGGATTTCACTCAGTGATAAAACACTCCTGGGTTCAATCCCCAGTACCAAAAAAAAAAAAAAAATGAGAGAAGAAGAGGAGGAGGAGGAGGAAGAAGAGGGAGGAAGGAAGGAAAATTGGGTCACGGTCGAGGCCTAACAATGAGAACCTCTAGGTGGGCCCTGGCAGTGTGTGTTAACAAGCTGTCTTGGAGATTCCAGTGATGCTTCGCTGATTGACCTATTTTTCTATTTAACTCTGCTCTGTGTTACTTGCTACCCAATCATGTATGACATAGAGCAAACCCAGTGCAGATCAATCAAGGAACGCACAGGGCAGCACCAACCCCGCACYTCACTCACCACAGTTCCCCTGCTCTATTTGCATCGTGCGTGGCTCTAGGCAGCCCCATTGGCCCCAGGGTCCAGCTGCACCCCCAACCTTCCCTCTTCCCGCCCAGGGACTTCCTCCGGATGCTCTTTCCTGAGAAGCTGGATGTGGACAAGAAGGGCCGTCCRAGCACTGCTGGCTCCAAGATCAAGGTGGGCTTGGGGCAGACGAGGGAGAATTGGGCATTAGAAGGGCTGGGTCCCACCCTGTCCARTCCCCAGAGTGGGTCCCTCCTGGTTCCAGTGTCGGTCTCTCCCCCACACCTGGGGCCATTGTGCCTGTCTCTGGCACCCTCTGGCAGGCACCATCTTCCACCTCTAAGTTTGGGAGATTAAATCAATTTTCTTTACCACTTTTCCTCTTCTCCTTCTCCTCTGCCTTCTCCTCCTCCCTCCTTCCTTCCCCATCATCTCCTCCTCCACCGATGGGGATGGAACCCACGGATGGGCCTTGCACCTGCTAAGCGTGGACTCTACCACTGAGCCACACTCCCAGCCCCCGTGTCGGAGAGCACGTTCAACACACAGAACAAAACTGACCATCTTACCCATTTCTAAGTGCACAGCTCGGAGGTGTGAAGTGTGTCCGTCTCCAGAACTTTCTCGCCTTCTCACACTGAAGTCCTGTTCCCTTTAAACACTAACGCCSCAGCCSCTCCCCAGCCCCTGGCACCCACCACCCTGCTCGCTGTCTCTGTGAATCTGATGATTCCAGGGGACCACCTGTGAGTGTGTCCTGCCTGCAGCGTGTCCTTGCCTGCCTGGCTGATCTCACTGAGCACAGTGTCTACAAKGTCCCTCCGTGTGGCGCCATGTTGAAGAATTTCCTTCCTTTTTAAGGTTGGAAAATATCCAGTGTCTAGGTGGACCAGTTGTATCTATTCATCTGTTGGACACTTGGGCTGCTTCCATCTTTTGGCTACTATAAACAATGGTGCGATGAACTTGGGGGTCCCGTTCTAATAATGTATGAGCACCCTTTTCTTTTTTTGAGTGCTTACTGCATACTGGCAGCAAGCACAGAACACGGATACACGAGAAGCTTGTTCAGTTCCACCCCCAAGGCTCAGAGAGGGTCACTCACTTGCCAAGGCCACACAGCAGAACCTGAGTCACTCCCACTAGTTTCCCCCACCCCAAGAAGAATTCTTTTCTGTTCACCCTATTTCCTGGGGTGACTAAAATACACAACCCAAGGCTGGCCTCTCAAGCATGTACACATGATTCTTTAYGTCCCAAATCCCTGTCTCCCTAAAGGACAGGTAGAAACGTTCTGGGCAACATGGTCCCCTGAATGGTCAGCTACTCGGTCTGCAAACATTTCCTGAGCACTTACTGTGTGCCAAGCTAAGCATGGGGAGTGTGGCACGTGCAAGAGCTCCCAGCTGGAGGGCAGGCAGACCCAGGATATCACCCCTCTTGGTGGACACTCAGAGTGTGCACTCCGTGCTCCATCAGCGCAGACCCCAGCCCCGCCYGCCATGGGTGTGTCTGTTTCTTGGGTGGGGAGAGGAGAGGGGCCATCTGTGCTCCCCTCACCCTGCTTCTCAGAAACAAGCCAACGACCTGGTGGCCACACTGAAGAGGTGCACCCCCCACTACATCCGCTGCATCAAACCCAACGAGACCAAGAGGCCCCGAGACTGGGAAGAGAGCAGGTGACGTCCCCTGGCCAGGTCTGGACTTTGGTTGGACCAGTGCATGCCACCTGACCCACAGACTGACCCCCCATTCCAGGCCCCATCCCAGAACTAACCCAGACCAGCCCCAAGGGCCAGCACGAAACCCCTCAGGGCTCCTAGGTTAGACTTAGCACTGACCAAGACCCCCCTGGCCCCCAGGGTGACCCTAGACTGACTACAGGCTGACCCAGGGACAAGCACAGCCCCCAGCCTCAGTTCCCCACACTCAAAGTCCAGAACTGACCCCAGGACTGACCACCAGGATGAGCACAGCCCCCGTCCCCAGGCCCCCCGGGGGCTGAGTGGAGTCCCAGACCTCAGTGCTCACCCGGAACAGCCCCCAACACAACCCACCCCTGCAGGACCTGCCCTGCCTTCCCCACAGCCAGCAGCCCCCAGCTGCAGGGTCTCAGGCCGCCCTCCCCACAGGGTCAAGCACCAGGTGGAGTACCTGGGCCTGCGGGAGAACATCCGGGTGCGCAGGGCYGGCTTCGCCTACCGCCGCCAGTTCTCCAAGTTCCTGCAGAGGTGAGCGCTTGGCCCAGCGGCCCCAGCAAATGACCAGCCGCCCTGCCCCAAATGCCCCACACCCCACCCTCTGCTTCCAGGTACGCCATCCTGACCCCTGAGACCTGGCCACGGTGGCGTGGGGACGAACGTCAGGGTGTCCAGCATCTGCTTAGGGCGGTCAACATGGAGCCGGACCAGTACCAGATGGGGAGCACCAAGGTCTTCGTCAAGAACCCAGAGTCGGTAAGTGGGAGCAAGAGAATGAAGAGAAAGGAAGAGACCAACCTGTGGCAATGGCCCCGAGTCCTTCAGGCCACCGTGTGACCTTGGGCAGGCTTCCTTGCCCCTCCAAGCCTTGTTTCCCCATTTGGAAAATGGTGAGAATAACAGCTGCCCCCTGCAAAACTGGGGTGAGGATTAGACAAAACAGGAAGGCTTGCTGGGCTCTGTGGTGCACACCTACAATCCCAGTGCCCCAGGAGGCTGAGGCAGGAGGATCTCAAGTTGGAGGCCAGCCTCAGCAACTTAGCAAAACTCTATCTCAAAATAAAATAAAAAGGGCTGGGGATGTAGCTCAGGGGGAGAGCCCCCTGAGCCCAAGCCCTAGGACCCAAAGCAAACAAACACTGCCCAGTGACTGGCACACAGGAGCTGCTCTGAGAAAGCCACATTTGCTGGATGGTTCTTGGTGGCCAGGAAGGTGGGGGAGSCCGCCACCTATCCACAAAGGTCTTGTGTCCCCTTGTCCTTCCTTCACCCTTTCCTCCACTGGTTTTTCTACTTTCATTCTTTTTTTCTTCTTTAAATTTTTTTCTTTTTCTTTTTTTGCTTCTTTCTTTTTGGTCCTGGGATGAACCCAGGGCCTCACGCATGCTAGTCGAGGGCTCTGCCGCCCAGCTACACCTTCAGCCTAAAATTTCTATTTGCAAGCTTTGTTGGCTGGTGGTRCTGGAGATGGAACCCAGGTCCTGGCCCAGCTCTTCCACTGAGCTACACCCCACCCCTTTTTCCTTCTTTTACATGACTTCCTACGTATTGCTTTTTTCTTTCTTTCT